TGAGCATGCAAGGTGAAGAGACAAGACACTTGCAGGCTATATCCAAAGACAGAGAACCAGCAAGAAAACAACAGGGAAGAGAAAGGTCAAACCCCGTGTTGTACTTGCACTGTGTATGGTTTCTGCCATTTCCTATATTTAGTAGAATTTCTGGAAGGATGCTTACTCAAATTCTAGCAAATTAAACTCAAGGAAAACACTAGCATAACAAAATAAAATAACCTTTGCTTTTTAAAATGCAAATTTGTGTTCAAACCGTCTCCTTGCTTAATCCATGACAAGTTTTCCCAGTGCATTCTTTCCTTGGCTGTGAAGGGATGGCCATGCTGGCCTCCTGCCCTACATCTAATCATCCTTCAAGGACTTGAACCTGAATTGGTGGTGGATGAATCTGTGGAGCTGTGCTTCATCAGCACTGGGAGTGCACTCTGGAAAATGCAGCTTCAGGGGTGTTCTCCAAACAACTAGCAGAAACCTACACTTTTCTTCCTCTCTCCTTCCTCACTGAAAATTTATACGAAACAAACACACTGAAATTTCAAGTCAGATTTTTTCTCATCTGTTTTGCCTCAGTACTTTTCCCCCTGCAATCAATTTTAAGAAACCTGAGATCAGATTTGCCTGTAAGGTTGAAGAATAAATTGCTTACAGGCAACCCAGAAACATATCTTGACCTACAAGACATGGAAATCATGCTTCACTCCTACCCTAAATCATTAGGAAACTGGATATATTCACTTCAAGTTCCCTCAAAGCACTTGGGAGCAGCTCTTTGTCTAGCAAAGAAAGGAATCAATCAGTCTTTCCTCTGACAATATTTTAGAGGAGGATGAATTAATCTATGTCAAATTTGCCACTAACCCTCCTGCTCACACTTAAGTAGGGATTTATATTCTCCTGTGTTAAAAAAAATCTTCCAATTTCCTTAGCCTACTAAATGGCGGTTTAAAAAAATAATAATGCAAATCCTACCATCAAATACATTTTGGAGGTCAAATATTTTTGCCAGGAAAAACAAGCACCAGCTCCTGGCTCTCTGCTCACTCTGAAGTGACATGAATAGCCCCAAACCCTGCTCTGGGACCCCCTGTTCACACTCACTGCTTTACCCCTAATTGGTGCTGGTGGTCACATTAAACATTGCAGGGCATTGGTCACAGTAAACTCAACACTCAACACCTTGAAAGCAGCCTCTTGGTTCATATATACTTGAACAAAGACCCAAGTGAAGTGAGTTAACTGCAAATATGTGTGCTTTGTACATTACTCATATCTTGACTTATTCCTCTGTATGACAACTTCATTTTAGGCACACAGTGCTGTCTAGGGTGCTGCAGCAGTCCCTCAGTGCTGGGAGCTGTTAATCTGTGCTGTGCAAGCCTTCCCTTGTCTCCAGCAGAGCTCTTATTGTATTTCCATTACTTATTAAAAATAGCTGGTAGTATTGTCAAATTAGTGGGATTAACCTACTTTAAAAAGGAAATTAGGTCAGTTACTATATTCATGCCCAGCCTCCAACTCTCATGTATTGTTACAGCTCTCTTGCATCCTACAAAATGGGAGTTTTCCTGTGGAAAATACATATTTTCTTTGTTCCACACTTGAACACAACACCGAAGCAAACATGGAGGGGGTAAAGGCTCCAGCCCTCCTTATCAGTCTCTTGGCTGTTAAGAGGTCCTCCATTTGCAGGCTGCTTGCGACAGTGAAGACAAATTAGCCTGTTACATTCCTCTGATATCTGAAATGCACCTAAAAATCACACTCCAAAACAGTTTTTGAGCTTATCTCCACTAAAGCACCTAGGAACACCCCTTCCAAACCCACCTCAACTGAAATGGAGACTTGGATGAAACAGCCACTGAGAGGAATGCACTTGGCCAACCACCAAGCTACTAATGCTCCCTGACCAGGGATCAGGAGGGGAAGGGGTGACAACACCCTACAGTACTAGGCCATAAGTTCAGAAATTACAATTGTTCATTTAGGCAGGGGAGTCTGTTGTGCATCTCCAAACAGAGCTCACTCCTCCTCTATTCACCCACGACTCCCGGTGAGAGCACATCAGGACACAGCTCCTGAGTCTGCTCCTTTCAGGAAAACTTCTATTCTGCCTCCAATTTCCCCATGCCAAGGAATCTTTGTTACTGTCTTCCCAGGAAAAGGGCAAGACTGACTTCTAGAGTAAAACATCAAGAGAAAGACAGAGAGAGAATTACCCCTCTGGCACTTCTCTGAGAATTCCTCCTCTCCGAACCAGTTCACGACCACCCTCTCATACTGAGGCAGGAAAATCAACATACTGCAGTTAGGTGGAAGTTAGCCAGCTGGCTATCTGGATCTAGGAAAAATAACTGGAAGTTAACTGTATGCTTTTTCTTTTTCCTCCCAGCTTCAAGCTGATCTACAACTAACAAAGAGATTGCAGTTTCTGCATATTAATTACACTCCAGAAAAGGAGAGAGAGAGGAAAGAAAGTAGGACAAATCCAGACTGCACAGGCCATTCCTTTCCCTGGCAGAATGAGCTGCCACAGTTAAACCTTTAGCATTCCTTGGTATCCATTTCACTTTCCATGATTACTCCACGCATAGATACTGCTGAGAAAGGCAGAATCACAAGGAAGCCGAAGATTACTCAAGGAACATGAGAGCTCCTGTAGAAGCACCCCCAAAAATGACTGTACAGAGAAGTCTCAGGAATCCTCATCTGCAGCCTCATGATTCCTTACCATGGTGCTCCTTAGCAGGTGACAGAGAAAAACCTTTTGTGGCTTTTTGTTTTGTTTAGTTTTTTCCAAGTGTCCAGAGAGGGCAGAGAAGGAAGCAGCACAGAGCACATACAGACTCCCCCATCCCTGTGGCTTAGCTTAAAACCAGGTGTCCAGGTTACATTAAACAGCATCCTAAGGCAATGCCTGGAAAGCACTTAGGGATGCTTGGCAAATCAACACTGCCAGGGCTGTGCCTGTGAATCCTACTGAGATGAAACTGCCCATTTTTAGATAAAGGTTTCTCTTTCCCTGTTTCCCAGGACTATCTCTGCACAGGAGCAGAACTGAATGCTCCTGAGCTGGGAAGCAGACCCAGAATGTGGAACGTGGTATTGCCTCAACACTCCCCAAAAGAATTCTGTATGCAAGAAGAAGGAATCAATGACAGCAGCATGCAGAGCAAAACAGCATTTATCACTGCTACAGCACATGGCATGTCACGTGCTGGGACATGTTATGTGCTGTGTAATGTGCCATCACATGGCACGTGCAGCACAACAAGGTAATCAGGCCCAGCTGGAATGGATTTGCGAAAGGAAGGTCCTGCTTGATCAACCTGATCTCCTTTTATGACACACTGAACCACTTAGTAGATGAGGGAAAGGCTGTGAATGTGTCTACCTAGACTTCAGTTAAGTGTTTGGCACCATCTCCCACGGCATCCTCCCAGAAAGACTATCTGCTTGTGGCTTGGATGGGTGGACTCTTCGATGGGTAAAAAACTGGCTGATGGCTGGGCCCAGACAGCTGTGGGGAATGGAGCTAAATCCAGTTGAGTCATTAATGCTGTTCCCCAGGGCTCACTTCTGGGGCTGGTCCTGTTTAACATCCTTATTGCTGGTCTGGATGTGGGCATTGAGTGCACCCCCAGTAAATCTGCAGACAACACCAAGTTGCGTGGGAAGGTTGATCTGCTGGAGGGACCTGGACAGACTCGATCAATGGGCCGAGGACAACAGCATGAGGTTCAACAAGGCCAAGGGCTGGGTCCTGCACTGGGGTCACAACAACCCCTGCAGCTCCAGGCTGGAGCAGAGAGGCTTGAGAGCTGTTTGGCACAAAGCAACTTAGGAGGGCTGGTTGGCAGTGGCTGAACATGAGCCAGCAGTGCCCAGGTGCCCAAGAAGGCCAGTGGCATCGTGGCCTGGATCACGAATAGTGTAGCCAGCAGGACTAGGGAAGTGATCATCCCCCTGTACTCGGCACTGGTGAGGCTGCACCTCGAGTCCTGTGTTCAGTTCTGGGCCCCTCACTTTAAAAGGACACTGAGGGGCCGGAGCGTGTCTGGAGTAGGGCAACAAGGCTTACAAAGGGTCTGGAAAACATGAGGAATGGCTGAGGGACCTGGGTTTGTTTAGACCTGAGGAGGCTCAGGGGGGACCTCATCACTCTCTACAGCTCTCGGACAGGAGATTGTATGAGGTGGGACTGGTCTCTTCTACCATGCCTGCAGTGAGAGGACAAGAGTAAATGGCCTTAAGCTGAGACAGGGGAGATTTACATTAGATATAAGAAAAAAAATTTCACTGTTAGTGTGGTCAGGCATTGGAATAAGTTGCCCAGGGAGCTGGTGAAGTCGTGTTCAAGAACGTCTGGATCTGGCACCAGGTGATATGGTTTGGTAGCTACAGTGGCAGTGCTGGGTGGAGGGTTGGACTTTATGATCTTCAAGGTTTCTTCCAACTTTGATGATTCTGTGATTCTATGTGTCAGCAGGGGTTTATGTCTCTTAACACCATGAAGCTTAACTAAGGAGCAGAAGCAAGTTCCAAAGCCATAAGCAACCAAATCACCTCACACAGGTCAATGAAATGATAGATTCCAGCTGCAGGATGGACAACCTAAGAATAATAATACGTTTGCAACATCTTCACTTTTTTCTAGGTCGTTAGGGTCAAGCAGAGTCACATTTTCAGTGCATAATAAACGCTCATTTTGCATTGTTAAATGTCACTCTTTCGCAGAGATAACGGCTTCAAGAACCAGTGATATTCTCCCACTCAAATTCAGTAAATATCACCACAACAGCTTGATGTTTTGTAGCAGCACATTACATCCCTGCATGCTCCTCATCAACAGGAGCATGTCACAGACACACACTGTAAGCAAGGATCTCGGGAAAAGGCACCCCCCCCTCCACTCTCTGCAGGGGTGCGTGGGGAGGATGTCCAACTCTTCCCCACACCAGCAAGGAATGAGGTTTTGCAGAGTTCATACGTTTTTTTACCTTGTAGCAAACATTGCTCTCAGGGAAGAGAAGGTGGCGGCGTCTTCTTTCAAAGCCTTCAGCTCATTTCGCAGCTTCATCATGGTCTCTGTAACCATCGCTTTCTCATTCTCATACTTGCTTTTTAAGTTGGCAAGGGCTACCTCTGCAGTCTGTTGGTGACCAGGAAGAATGGAAACGTAACATTTAATGAAACTCTTCACCAAATGGCTGGCTAAGAGATTTCTAATCACTACTCACATAATGAAACATTTACTTTGTACTGGAATGTTAAACTCGTGGTCGACTTTCTTACACGGATAAAATAAAGCTTCATTTCTGAACACTGGGAACAAACATAGGAGTCTCCTACTCCCATTAACCATGCAGCAACATCAAGGAAGTTACAGAATATACATGCAGGGACACCTCCAACTACTATAATAAATTAAAAGTTTATATACTTCAACACAAAGGAATGAAACAGCCTATTTAGTATCTTGATATTTAAATGCATTTGCAGTTCTCTAACCCTTATAGCATTTTGCCTGTCTTACATTTGGGACACCCTTATTAAAATGTGCAAAAGAAAACTTAATGTATCATTCTTAAACAACACTATATACCTTCTTTTTTTAAGGACAACTTCAATTTCCATTGCTTTAACTGCAGAGGAGATGACAAGGAATGTCATGTGGCATTTTAATGGCAGTTATTTTAATCTACTACACTGCTAACGTGTGTTGAATGTCACAGACCAATCCCAAAGACTAATTTTATCTTTCACCCATTATTTTGACCATGTTCTTATATTCCATCCTCATCTTGGAAGGCTCTCTTTTATTTTGCAGTTTGAGAGAAAAGAGTACTTAAGTTTCACAACTCTTTAAGGGTAACTACTAGAATTCTTTCAAGTGAAAAATAAGATTTACCTCTTCATTTTAGGTGTCTTACATTAAACATAACCTGATGTAATTCAGACAAACAATAGACTGAAGTCTCAATAAAGTCTCACGAGTATGTGACAACTGAAGTCAGTTCCAGCCGCAGCTCTCAGCTTTACAGAGCTGGGTGCCTCTAATGAACAGCCTCCTTCAGCCTCAGACTACACAAACATCAGCACCCAAAGCCCCACAGAGCTGAGGGAATGGTAGTGTGACCTCAAAGATAAATTCCTTTGTGTTTCTGACCCAATCCCTGACATTGTGACCTTCACACCTGTAACACCTGGTTACCTGTTTGTTGGCCTTCAGCACAGTTCTCAGGGTTGCTATCTGTTCCCTCTTGGTGCTCAGCAGGGACTTCAGCTTCAGGATTTCTTCCATGAGGGCTTCCTTGTCTTTGTCCACCGCGGGCCCAAGTTCTTGAGTGGCAACACGCTGCCTGGACAGCTCGGTTGTTCTGTCCACAGCAGCCTGCAGGTGTTTGATCTGGTCCCGAATTATGGCGATCAGGTTGTAAATGTTCATCGGCTCCTTCCGAGGATCGGACACAGGGGATGGCAGAGATGACACCGGGGATGGGCTGCTCTCACCACTTCCATTCTCTGCCTTTCCCAGCTCAATAGTTAACAGCCCTTTAGAAAGAAGAATGGGAGACCTTCTTCCCTTGGCCTCTGGACTACTGCGCCCACCTTTACCTTCCTTGTAGTAGTCCAGCATTACTCTGTTTGGAGTTTCATTGTTGCACATGCAGACATGGTGGTATAAATTGGCCAGCTCTTCACTGAAGGTGACTAGTTCATCTTGGGCCACGCTGAGGCTGCCCTGTGTTTCTCCAGCAACATCACTGACTTTCTTCAGCTCCTTCTCCAGCCTGGCCACCTGTTCTCTGTCATGCCTACTTGACTTTTCCAGCGAGGTGATCTTTTCAGTGAGAGCTTGGTTCTCAGTCTCATATCTACTCTTCTCTTCCTCATATTTAGACTCGCATTCTTTATATTTGGCCTTCAAATTTTTGAGCTCTTCTTTTAGGTCAGTAGTTTCTGCCATGGCCACCTTGTACTTGCACTCCAGGATCTCTGGCCCATTGATGTCAACCTCATAATAGTCTCCATCTTCGTGGCTGTCTCGGTCCTTCTCGTTGTCAAGGGCAGACTGATGCTCCTTGCTGGCCTGGAGCTTCTTCATGGCATTCAGGTTTTCAGTGAGCCTGCCAACTTTCTCATGCTGCTCTGAGAGGGCCCCCCGTGTATTTTCCAGCTGCTTCTGAGATTCCTGTAGCGTTGTTAACAAGTTTACCTTTTCTCTTTCCATCTGAAATGCGGGAACACAGACATTTACATGAAAGGAACTGTATCACTTAAATGGTTTAATTCTAAGAGGCAGCAACTTAGCCAAGGGTCCATATGGTTACAGTGATCCAATCACTTGCACATTATGGAAAAGGCTATATAATGTGTTCTAAAATTATCTCAAGTACAGTGTTCACTGCCAATTCTTTCTCATTCCCTCTTTAAAATAAATGTACATTTTTACACATTTATTCCCTAGCTGACGGTCTCATTGTAAAAACATCGTTTCAGCTAAAGACAAGATAAAGTTTATTATTATCAAATAAATATTACAAAACGTGCAGCTAGTCTATGGGGAAAGCTTGGGACTTCATGAAAGACTCAGAAATATCAAAACAACAAACATTTAACATCCTCAAATTCTAGATCAACCAAAGCCTTCACGAATACAGTATGAACTCTATGGTGGTCACATGAGATATCGAAAAGACCAAAATTACGCCCCAAACAAACTCTAGGAGCTATCTGGGAGCACGCAATTCTTAAGGAAACCCATTTACCTGCACAAGCTGCTGTTTCAGCTTCTGGATTTCAGAAATGTTTAACTCACTCAGAAGATCTGAAACCAGACTTGGGGCGGGAGGGAAGCTTTCGTTCTTCTTGGGCGTGGAAGTGCTGTTCTTGCCGTTGCTGAGTTTGCTGAGGCAGTTCTGCTCAAAGCCGTTCATGATTTCATCATTGTTGGGCTCCGTGGCTTCGTCGCTGAACTTCAGCCCATCCAAAGAGATGTTCAGGTGGCTGTTGTACATGGAATCGTTGATGTTCATGTAGTGGGACAGCTCCTTCCGAAGGTTGTTCTTCTGCTCCCGCTCCGTCTTCAGCGTCTCCAAGGCCTCCTCCAGCTGGCGCTCGGAGATCTCCTTCAGGCGGATGGCATCTTCCAGCTGGCTGTTGAGAAACTCAGTTTCCTCTTCAAGCCTTTTGATTTCATGTTTCAGGCCTTCAAACTCCACCTGGAGATACGCAAATGGAGGAGAAAAAAACCTTTAAAGAAAATGTGCCTGCCTGCAAGGCGTTTTGCTTTTGAATTTCACTCAAATGTGGTGGAAATAGAAAACTTTTTCTAATTTCTGGAGCCTAGTTTTGGCACTGTGACTGTGCCAAAAAACATGGCTTATGGAATTTACATTCACAGAGACCATGGACTAAAATTACCAAGCAAACTGTCAAATGAGCTGATCTATTCCAGCTTAATGAGGACAGATGGGAGATACAGTGTGTGATACAGAGGCATCCCAAAACAGGCCTTCCTAGCACAGCATGCAAACATTTTCTCTGTTTAACTAACAAATTCCCTGGCCAACCTTCCCACAAAGTCAAGCTCCACATTTCCAAAACCCAGCATGGCAAAGCTACACTTCTGACACTGCTGCACTGCCATCACTGGGTTAAAACTGCAATCAAGCTCTCTTTTCATACATTCAAAATAAAATATTTTATCGTTTTTCTCATCATCATTTCAGCACATCTTGAGAGGGCTACAGCTCAGACTCTACGCTTCAGACTCACACTGATGAGTTTGATGACATGCTATATGTTTTTACCTGTAAAACTTGCACTGAAATTATGAACATCAACGATTAATGTGAAATTTTGAATCACTTGGGGGAAGTAGGGAGGAAGAAAGCTTAAAGAATATTTTTCCTTGCCCTGAAAGAAAGGAAATCATACCACATGATATATGACACTATTTATTTTTGCCAATTGCTACATGAATTTTAGATGCCAACATAGAGCAATCTGGGAGTGCTGTACCACACCCAACTTACAAAGCAGGAATCAAGCATGTTATGTTAATTCAGTGATGCAAGTTAAGCCTGGGAAAACTTGTTATGTCAGCAGGATAATTAAAAGTTCATCAAATAAAGTTCTTTGAGATAGAAAATTAAATAATCCATTGTCATGAAACAGATGAGCTCTGGATTGTGTATACAGCCACTAAGATAAAATATTTCAGATTGCAGTCTATTTTCAGAGATTCCAGAATACAAACACAGCAGTCAATAACTACTAGCAACTATCAGGATAGCATCTGAGGTTAGGTTTGGCTCAGCCCAGAATGGCAGCATATCTGAATATGAATATTGTTATTTTAGAACATGGACATGGAGCTGGGAACTATCACTTGCTGTTGTGAATATGATGAACGAGACAAAGAAGGTAAAAACCAAAAGAACTACATAGATTCAATTTTACCAGCTCCCTCTCTCTTCCAGCCTTCATCCAGAGCACGACAGACCCTTTTGTCCCCATAGCAGGATGTCAGGGCACCCAAAATTAGACCAAATATATGTAGATGAGAACAGGTCCACCCTGGAACCCCATTTTGGGCAGTGAGGCCCAAAGTAATAAACACTGACACAGAATTACACCTGAAGATGAATAAAATGCATTCAATGTCCCAAATATGGGGCAGTTTTCATTCAGAACACTGAAGGACTTCTGCAGCAAATCCTAAAGAGCTTTTACTATGTGCTGACTATAACAGATGGTATTAACACTGCTGTTTTCGAGTATTATCATGGAATTGTAGAATCAAAGAATGGTTGGGGCTGGGAGGGACCTTAAAGCTCATCTTGTTCCACCCTCCTGCCATGAGCAGGGACACCTTCCACTAGCCCAGGTTGCTCCAAACACAGTCCAACCTGGCCTTGGACACTTGCAGGGATGGGGCAGCCACAGCTTCTCTGGGCAACCTGTGCCAGGGCATCTCCACCCTCACAGGGAAGAATTCCTTCCCAATATTCCATCTCACCCTGCCCTCTGGCAGTGAGAAGCCATTCCCCCTTGCCCTGTCTCTCCAGGCCCTTGTCCCAAGTCCCTCTCCAGCTCTCTTGGAGCCCCTTTAGGCACTGGAAGGGGCTCTGAGGTCTCCCCAAAGCCTTCTCTTCTCCAGGCTGATCAGCCCAGCTCTCTCACCCTGTCTCCAGAGCAGAGGGGATCCAGCCCTTGGAGCATCTTTGTGTTCTGTGCCAAAGACCACATAAAATCTAATTACCTCCACAAATGATAACTCAGGGAAATTCTTAAGAAGTTCCAAGAACGTAGTTTCCTAAACTTCTGAAAATAGGTGGAACTGTGCAATTAAATGTGACTTTTCAGACAAGCAGTCCCAGAGGTGTGACAGTGTAGAGCAACTACAACAGCGATGCAAATTTAGGGAAAGTAGCACAGAACTGGAGAGATAATGTAAGGATTAAGTAATAATTAAAACATATGTTCAGAAACACCCCCATTTCCAGATATTGTAGAGGAGGGAGGATGGATGGATGGACAGATAGATGGATGGAGAGGATTGTAAAGAGACACTGAAAAACTAGTGCAGCAAAAGGACTAAACCAAGTAACAAAACGGAGTAAGAGAGAGAAGGCAATGGAAGGACTTGGAGGTCAAAGTAGAGGCAATAAAGCATTATGACTGTTATAAAACAGAGTCAGAAAGGACTTAAACATTTAGGGACAACTCTTGGTGATAAAATATAGAGCTTTTAGTCTCAAAAGTAGTACAAACCTAAAGAAGGGGTTGGATGTTCAAATGAGACAGAACCATAATGTAACACAGGAATTAACTGGTGCTACCAAAGCAAACCTCACTGGTTGAAAAACTTGCCTGATTTTGCTTGAGGACAGACACTTGTTTCTGGAGACAGATGTTTTCCTCTTCTAGCTCAGTATAGTCTTGCAGCAAGCGTGCTTCTCGAAACTTATATTCCTTAATATCATCTCGCAGACGGGCCCTTTGGATCTCCACATTCTGGTTGACCTGGAAGAACAAACAAACCCCCAAATGATGGTGATTTGGTCAGCTCAACTGAATTCCAAAATTTTACATCTTTCCTTATGTGCGCTAATCAATTATATTCTACTGAAACAGAAACTCTTCCCCACGCCCCTGAAATTACAGAAAACTAAGCCATTTATGTATTTATACATAATTAGATTTTTGTTTTCTTGCTTCTGTTACAACTGGCTCAGAAAAAAGTCCAGAAACAAGCATGGAAAGCAGCATTCCCACCTGTGTCGTCCCACTGGCTGCAAACAACAGGCAACAGCTTTCCAGACCAGAAGTTAGTGCCTAAATCTGTTCCCTCTTTAACAAGAACGGCCTTTTCACGAGAGAAAAACAGATTCAGATGACTCTAGATGTTCTTATTTGGACATGTGTTTGCTGGTGCTTTTCAACAGGTATTTTCTTTATGCCCAGAGCAATAATTTGAAAATGAGTTCTAAGGAATTCTTTTGGAGAGAGGCACTGAGTTAAAACTCAAATGAAATCCAAGATCTCAGGTAGAAAAAAATAGAAGCTTTGGTTGACTTATAAAATCTTTCCTCCCCTCAGCCCCAAGACTTATGCAAGACCTTAAAAAAGGACTTTAAAAAATCACCATTGTTTCAAAATAGGCAAAAAGTAAAAACCAGTATGGTGGTGTAGTATTATCTTTGGATCTTTCATGAATATACACAGACACTTGAATAAATTGAGCTGGCACATATCCAGCTATGGGAATGGCTCACTGTACTTAGCTTTTATTTTTTCCAGTATTATTTTCCTTCAAGCCACATCTTCAAAACACCTCATTAAAACAAACTGAAAACTATGTTCTAAAACATCAACAGAATTATTGATATAGGCAAACAGGCACTACAGTTGTTTTTACAGGAGGGATCCACACGAGTAACCACACAGGTACCAACAGGCACCCACAGCACATGGAGATAAGGGAATGTTTGCAGCAGGAGCGTGTGCCAAGACTTGAATCTGGCACGTCCACAGACACAGAATCACCTGCAACTGTTAAGACCAATAAATTTAAATTACAGCTCCCTCACATGTCATTTAAAGATTAGATTATATAAACTTGTCTGTTTATTTTTAGCAACAAAGAGCAGAGCAATACCTCACGGCAGACTGAGAAGCCAAAACTGCTGCAACCAGACACTACAGTACACCAAGGCAAATGATAGGTTGCTATATCCCATATTCCATGCCTAAGTAAGTGTTGGCTCTACCTTTGCACAAACCCAGGGCCGCAGGGAAAGCTGAAGGCTCACATGAGTTCACATCTTTATGTCTCCATAACAACTGCAATGGAGACCTCTTGCCTTTGGCAGAAAGAGCCTCCAGCCAGATAATCCATACTGTTTAACAGGATTGCAAGAGGCTCCATCAAACAAATCATCACACTATTTTCCCCATTCCCAAGGGCAGACCTCCCACAAAGCTACTGGTGAGCTTCTCTCCCCACCATTCAGGCTGCTTTGCTCCTCTTCCTCCTTGGATGAGCTAATCTTTGTAGAGGTCAATGCCTGAAGAAACCTTTGGAAACTGTCTGGTCTAAAGAAAGAATGGTTTCTGTCCAAGCCTGCCTGTTTCATTCAAAGCAACAGCGAGAGCTCATTATTTAACGTGAAAGTATTGTTGTGCTTGTCTAGCACAAGAAAAATCATTCTACTTCCATGTGTGTAGGAAGGCCAGGTTTAAAAATAGCTCCCTTGTTTCCTGACCGGGGAAGGGAGATCTAACCTAGATTTATTGGCTGTTTAGCAAGCTGTGCATTCAATTTGCTCTCAGCATTCTCCTGTCAAATAAATGTGCATGCTTGCAAGCTGCAAGGTTCAACTGGATGCCATGTGATCTTGTATAACTGACCAAATGGTGGGATTTTCCTGCAGGACAGAGAAGCTAAAGGTACTACATCCTTCCTTGATCAGATTTTTCCATTACCCATACAGAAAGTGGTATTTGTGTGATTTAAGACAGACACACACACACACTGCACAGGTGGTGTTTCACACTTCCTCTGGTCTCTGGAAAAGGTGGGGAGTTCGAACGTTCCTTTGACCCTTGCTGCTTCAGTGGCTCAGGGGCATCTTCCTTCCTCCTCTGCCCTGAGCACCCTCTGAGCACAGGGGAGAAGAGGGGCTGGAACACACAGGAATGTCTGGCCAGGCACTTGGCTGTAGCAGGTCACACCTCCACCCAAAGCAGATCACACAGTGGCAATGATATATTAAAGTGCTGTGTGGAGAACTCATAGCCATAAAATTCCACTGAGTGTTATTCTACCTGACAAACCCCTCAAATTCTCAACCCAGAGAACATTCCCACTATGCAGAACCCTCCCATCCATCCTGCCTAAGAAAAGACTATGATCTGTAGGAGATTTTGCCTGATCTAAAGGCCACAGACTGCCTTGTTCCTGCTGCTAGAGAGATTGCCTTCAGCATTTTCACCCTCTCGGCTCTGCCTCAGAAGGGTTCTGCAAGAGACTCCTCTGAGTAGCACTGGTACTAGAAAGAGCAGGAATTCCTTCAGGACCAGTCTGAATTCACCCTTGCCTGCATGTCAAAAGCACAACTACTGTCCTGCAACACTGCTAGAAGCCTACTTTTTCTAGGACACTCCAGCATATAAACGTTACGTGTAATTTGACCCTAAGAATTATAATAATTGAGAGAAAAATCTCAGGTAGCTGATTCCTTCCTTTGTCCTGGGCACTGCATAGTGGCCTCCAGGTCACCAGCCAGAGGGTGATCTTGCAAGCCAAGCTGTGTCACTAGCAGGGGTTCTGTTGCCCTGAACTTCACCAGCTCGTGAGGTCAGTTTGGGTTCCCTGCTGTAGTAACATGCTCATGCCTGATTTTACTTATCTATCATCATCAAGAGCCAAAGCTTAGTTTGCTGAAATGTGTTACTAATTCTAGGATTAGATTTAATTCTTTTAAGTATATCTACGTATGATCATTCCCTCTTGTGTTATTCGTGGGAAGGAGTCACAATAAAAGGATGCTGCCAGTGGAATAAACACAGTGCAGTCAGACAGGACAACAACTCATATGTATTCTGTTGCTGTGGGGAGAACAAAATCATAGAATTATTTATGTTGGACATGACCCCTAAGATCGTTATCACTAACAAAACTGCCAAGTCCATCAAAATATTCAATTAAACATCTCTTAGACACCTGAATAAATACAGGTATGAAAATTGGAAAGACTAATCCTCAGGTTCTTAACTTAGTCCCCTACTCAGTGACCTACTGAACAGTGAAATTAAGAAGTCAAAACCTGGGCCATTAAGCTTTCCTGTGCATGAAAAGAAAGCTTCAGGTCAGTCACTAGACAATACCACAACTAACAAGTTACATTCTTTAGGCTCCAAAGAGCAGCAGTTTGGAAGTTGTGTAGGAATTCCCTGCTGCCCATCTGACTTTAATGGCATTTCCTCTGCATATGTGGGGACTGGGGTCCCGTGGCAACATATCACATAACTGTGTAATTAAGGGCTGGGATATAAAATACCTTTAGAACCAGAATTGAATTAACATTGCATAAGAACACAAAAATCTTCCCCTAGTTCTCAACTTACAAGCTTACAAGTTGTTTTCTTTCTCTTGTTTTCTTATAGATACTAATCAAAACACTAACTTGAGAGAGAAAAAAAAAAGATAAAACATTCCATTAGATCCAGCTGTTTATTACATCAGCAAAAGGTTTGGAAACCTGAACTTTCAGTACTGCAACAAAGTTCACCTGCATGACACGGCTGTTTGCAGCTCCTGGCAACGGGCAAATGCTTTTGGGGCACAGATGCAGACTACCAGCACCTCGTGATGATGGCCTTCCCTCCCTCTTCTTCCTCAGATGTGGGAGTTTCAAGGGCTTCTCCTTTTTAAAGTTTTACCCACTCTGTTCTTACGGTAGAGAAGCTATAAAATTGTATAAAAATAATTGTTTATCCACGTGAAGGGAAGGAAAGTGCCACGGTGGCCTGGCTCTGCTGCCCCACTCATCACAGAAGAACTTGCCTCCAGTCACACCAGGATCCTGTGCACACACATACTGCTACAGCGTAAGATGTTCCTTGGTAAGAGGAAAGATTTATAAACAAAACACCTGTCAGTATCTTGGCTCAGACCACCTTAAGTTAGGAAAAGAAGCAATTTTATTTCCCACACAAGCCCCGTATAAAATTCAGGGTATATCACCCCCCCACACACACTAAATGCAGGGAGGCTGGTGCAGACCTACAGCCAGACACAGCTACACCTATAGCTGTGTTCTGTACCCATGACAAAGTATCTGTGCCTCAGGATTCTCTTTATCTGTGATTAATGCTGGGGTACACCTCTATTAATGTACTCAGCTCAAGATTTACTGATTTTTTTTTTTTTTTTGCAAATCTTTAAATAAAAACCTTTGAGAAGCCCTGACATTACAGGTGAGCTTATCACAACAGTGGAGAACAAAGAAATGCACTGTCAGGGAGTTTTTTCTGCACAATATTAGTGAGATCACAGTTGACAGATACCACAGCATATCCTGGGGCCAGTTAAATCTTAGAACTACTAAATGGTATTAAGCCTTGATACAATACATATGTCCTCTTACTTACAACTCATTGCTTGCTACCTGTTCAAACATTTTATCCAAACCAAAAGCACACCCTCCCAACCCTTCCTTTGTCAACGTTATTTTGTGTGCAAAGGGAGGGTTAACACCTGGGCTCATGTGCCAATATTTACTTCTGTTTAAGCTCCCTGCTCCAGTGATGCTCTCCAACTACAAGCTAAACCCCAGGTGAGGATAAACACACCTGACCCTAAGCCACAGGCTGTACCTGCCCACCCAAGTGGGCAATCTTTGCCCAGGAGCCTGCTGGGCACTAAACTCGAGGTGTCTGGCACTGCTGCAGCCCACACAGGCAGCAGCAGCAGTGTGATATCTTTACAGAAACAAACAGAAGTGTTTCTACTTCTTCCA